CCCCAAAACCCCAAAACCCCAAAACCCCTCAATTAAGCTATTTATTGAAACTTTAAGGATGAACTACTATACTTTTCTATTACGGTTTCTGAACTTTATGTATTCAATAGAGATGACATCTTTGACAGACTTCTTACAACTTTTGCATTTCCCATACCCTTTATCCTTGGGGATGGTTCTTTTATATCATTCTTCACACTGAACTGCATGCTTGCAGGGTAAGAAGAGAATTCAAGGGTTCTCTCTGCATATGTTACAAATACACTGTCTTCAGAGCCCTGTCTCTTTATCAAATAGACCGGATGCTCTTCGATCAAAATTCTTGGGTTTCTCAGGAATGACAGGCTTAATATCATCAAAAGGTATCTCTTCGACCTCTTTAATTGTATTGGCATTTGGTCTGACTTGTCAAAGCTTGCTCTTCTCCTTTTCAACCTTGAGAGCTATATTGAGGTCTTGGATTTTAGCCTTGTCCTGCCTCTCTTTCTCTTCTAAAATTTTGATCCGTTCTAGCAGGCTTGAGTAGAGTTTCTGTGTATCAGAATGATCTTTCTGCATATGAGTTATTTTCTCTTCGTATAACTGAATATCTTTTATTCGAGGATCCTAAACATTATTAGGCTGAAATCCTCAAGGATTTTAGAAATTTCGAAAAATGAGGTAAATCTTACTTTAAATTTTTGGCTAAAAATACCTGGAAAGTTCCTGAATCCCTCTACTGGGATCTTCTTCTAAGCACATGTCTCGTATCTGGTCTTCTGGAACACCCAGTAAGCCTAGAAATGAGCAAGTGAGGGTTTACCTGTGTTAATCATTATTAGCCGCTCGAATAGCTGACTTGGCTTTTGTTCTGGTGACTATAAGGTTTATGCAAGTATTATCCTACTTCTGAAGGTTTCTTCACTTTAGGCTTCTTCTGAACTATGGCATTTGGCTTAGGGAGTCCATATGAAGACTGCTTATCTAAAAATTAACATGAAAGTTTACAGATTTTAGCCCGAAGCAGTAACTTTGGTACCTTTATTAGTATAATAGAATGAGGAAGAGCCGTCAAAAGATTTGACTTGAACAAGAGAATGAAATCAAATTCTTCTTTACATCACACAAACATTATGTCCTTATCTTTAGGGATGTGCTTCATGAGTTTCGAGTGGTTCTCTTCATTCTCCTGCCAGCTTATTGCAAAATGTTCTATATTGAAACAAGTATCGTACCTGGTAACTTCTCAGGAAATTTGGCCATTATGAGGCTGAACTCAAAGTGCTTTTTAAGCAGTCCCTCTAGTTGGTTCCTTTGCCATTTTGATAATTTTCTATACACAAAATAAGCTAGATGTGTTGCTATTTCCAGGCCTAAAAGGGCACCTAGAAACTAACTTACTTGTTACTTGAGGGATTATCTTGAATATTAAATAATCTTGGAAGCACCTTGCTCATCTGATACTGCTGTCTGAATTCATAATTAAGGTAGCTAAGTGTCAGGCAGAATTACTTACTCAATCTTTTGGGATATCCGAAGGGGCACATTCGTTAATGGTTCAATAATTCTGGACCTCACTCTTGCTCATTGTAAGTATAACTGCAGGCCGTTGAAGGCATTTTCAGGAGGAAAAGTGAACTAGTATTATAAAGTAGAAACTTACCTTCAGAAAAATACCATGGTAAGGTTCATAGCATAGCTCCTTTCCTAATGGAACCTCGTCAGGAGGTCCTTCAAGTGGGATAACTGAATCTGAATCCTGCACCATTGGAATTTGGACTTGTTTTTCAGGGATTATGCCAGACTCTGCTTGTGGGGTATCAATTTTTGGAGGAACTTCTTTATCAATAATTTGTTCAGGGATTTTATCCATTTCTCTCCAGATGCTTTTGGACGTTATTTCTATCTCATCAGTTTCATCAATTGGCTGGTTCACTCAAATTCTATCAGGCACTTGCTGCTTTACTAGGAATTCTTTTGTTGAATTCTCGTTTTCAGGTTTGACTGAGCAATTTTGGGATAATATATTATTCTTTTGACTATGATTCTCTTCTTCCGTGATTAAAGACATCTGACTGTTGCCAGTATTAGGAAGCACAGGAAGATTCCATTCGAAAATAGCTTGCTCTTTTTCTTGGGTATCTAAAGTAGTTTTTTCCTGTTCCTTAACTACTTCTTCTTGTTGAGGAACTGGAAGATCTTTTGCTATAGCCTTCTCTTCCTGAGAAGCTTGAAAAGCTTCACTAAACTCCTTCTCTTCTTTTTCTTGAGGATGTTTTGAAGCTTTTTCTTGAGGATGTTTTGAAGCATTTTCTTGACTTTGATCTAATTTATCTGCTTTGTTCTTCTGAGGAAGCGTATTGCTATAATTCATCATAAATTAAAATCAGAAACCACAAATCATATGAAAGTCTAGATTTCCTTACATTTTTAAAGTTAAGCTATCTTCATCAGCAGACTCATAATTCTCTTCCTGGCTTTGGTTACAACTCTGATCATCATCACTAAGTACAATGACCTCTTGTTCTCAGGAGGTCTTGTTTAGGGTCTCTGTGTGCTGATTCTCCCGGTGTTGGTGGGAACTATCGAAGCTACTTTCCTCATCCTGCTTATATCGTCTCTTAGAGTCTATAATAGTTTTGTAAAGTTACCTCTTTTCCTTGTATGAGTCCTCCTTGGCCCCTTTATTTCACCGATCAGGCTGGTCCTGTAATCGTCGTACCTATATTTGTGATTATGCTGGCTTACTTCGGAGGGTATTTTCTGACTCCTCTCTTTCCATGGTGGTATTCCTTCCCTCTTCTCATAACTTCTCTTAACAAATCTGCCTAAATTTAATAATAATTTCTAATATTTAGGAAATCTGGTGTCATTTCTTAGAAATCTAGTTATTTTCAACATGTATTGGGCCGGAAGGGGTTTTGGGGTTTTGGGGTTTTGGGGTTTTGGGG